AATTAACACCTAAAATAGATATAAAAATTACAAATTAGCAAAATAATATTGCAAAAACTAGACGGGAGCGTAACATATTGTACGGTGACGTCATAATAACACGTGTCTTATTTTCCGGGATGTTTCACGGAATTTATGTGAGACTGTGGGTCTTGGAAGTGCCAACTTCAGTACAATGACAAAAATGATGGACACGTACCACACCGCGGGTTATTGATGGCCCAAATGAGGACATTTTTGGGTTCCGCTGATTATACATATGGGCTTTTATTTTATAATATTTTAATTTTGAAATATAGTTAAATAAATTCAGTTAATATCATAAAATTTGAAATAAATTTTAATTAAAATTAATTATTTTAATAGTACTCGTACATTAATAATAATATAATATTTAAAATAAAATATTATAAAAAATGATGTAATTGTTTATCGTAAAAGTAAAAATAATTTGTAATTTGAGAATTAAAATTTGTGTATTTAAGAGCACCAAAACCATTTAAGATTGATTAATCCTAATTCTAATATTTATTTTGTATCGTTATTAATATTTAATGAATTTAATTTGTAAACTATAAATTCATTTTATTATTTTTTTAATATAATGTCAAATATATTTTTTCATTTTAGTTATTGTTTAATTTGTCGTTATTTTTAAAATGTACTACATTTATAGTAATTATATATGCCTTTTTTAAGAAAAAAAAAGGTGATGCCATGATTTAATAATTATAAAATATAAATAGTAAAATTGTATCTTATTAAAATTTGATGCATATAATAACAAATACCTTTTGATAACATTATTATATAGTAAATATTTATTAATTGTATTTTAAAAAATAAAATTATTTATTAATTAATATTCATTTATGAAAAAATCATTCATATTAACTAAATTTAATACATAATTTAGCTTAGATGAAATATTAACGACTAAACAGTATGCTTTGGAAGTGAAATAATTAGCGGGAAAGATCATATGGATTGCAGCCTAGTTTACAAATTTGCAACCCTATTTATGAAGCAGAATGATTGGAAGCTACCATCCGGTGCAACTAGTGTATCCATTCAGAAATTGCCACGTGTAAAACTATCATGTAGGTTACCTCATATAATTATAACCCTCACTCTACTCTCTCTTTCTCTCTCTTCCCTTCCTCTCCTCCTCGCCCCTCTCGCGCGACAGAATTATTCATTTCTCATAAGATCTGTAGCGCCCATTCCTGTTTCTCTTTCCTCTTCTCCAGAAATCATGACAGACTCTGTTGAACCATCAACTTCCTCCTCGGCGGAGGACCCCAACCCGAGTCCAAATCCGAATTCTCTAATTCACCCTAGGCGAGAGCCCTTCGAGCATGGACTCCTCCCAATCCCGAAGCTCATATTCAGCGACCCGACGCAAACCCTAGCACCGCTCAAACAGAAACTTGCTGCCTCCTCGTCGACTCTCCGAGTCGATACGGCTTCTCTCGTCGAGTCGCTCCAGATCTCCATCGACCATGCGCGCCTAGTCCTCGACACCCTCGCCTCCGTCCTTCACTCCGAGTCAGACCCGTTGGCCCGGGCCAAACCGGACGAGATTGACTTCGTAGGGGCCGATTTGCGTGATCTGATACTGTTCTTGTATATACAGTCGTATAAGAAGTTGCTGCCTAGGGCGCACAAAGACTCCGCTTCTGTGGCCGATGTCTGGCCGTCTACGTCAGCTTTTGATGGCTACCTATCAGCGTTGTCGCCGCTTCAGGTGAGCTTCTGCTGGCTGTAAAATGTAGCTGTGGATTGTGTTGACAATTGTTATATATATATACATTTCTTATTAGGTAATTGAGTGAATTTTTGTTTGAATTTGGTTTTGATTTAAGAAAATTGAAATGATTTTGTGCATTAAGGTACTGGGGGAAAATTGCTGATGTGTTAACGTATAGACGGAATTGAATAATTCTTTTTTCGCGCTTCTCATTTCAGTTCCTAGCCGAGTATTCAAATACAACATTTGATTGTTGTGTATTGTGTATATAGAGAAATTTTATCCGTTCAAAATGAGATCATTAGGATGAACATTTTTTATTTGTTAATTTGTGGCTTCTTGTTGAGGTTGTTGCTCAGTTGCACTTGCTGAAATGTTCTCATTTTATGCAACGTTAACAATTGTATGTTTAGATAGTAATGTCGAAAACATGCAATTTCAGTGATTGCACGAATGTTAAGTAGTTTATGTTCTAAGTGATAATATGCACTTCTCAAAAATTTTATTGGCTGGATTTTTAGAAGTTTTGTATGGAAAGATCGTCACCTTTGTTTGGACAGCTTAACATTAGCCGGAGTGGGAACATACATGGCATTTGGGAAAGAAATTTTATCCGGTCAAAACTAGGTCATAAGGATGTCTTTTTTTATTGTTCATTTCTAGAGCTACTCGTCAAGGATGTTGCTCAGTTGCAGTTGCTGAAATTTTGTCATTTCATATGTTTAGATAGTAGTATTCAGAATGTGCAATCTCATTAGTTGCATGAATATTTAAGTACTGTATGCTTTAAGTAGTAATTTTTGCCCTTCTCAAAATTTTTTTTTGCTGGATGGATTTTTGGAAGCTTTGTATGGAAAGATCATGACTTTTGTTTGGACAGCTTAGCTTTAGCTGGAGTTGGAATATGCATGGCATTTGGGAAAGAATCCACGTATTCATATTTTAACAACTACTGAAAATCAATATATGTTATTTTTGTAATTCATTTATACCGTTGAATATCAATCTCATGCTATTTTTTTATTCTTGGGGTCTGGTTACTGTCCTTTTTTTATGTTTTTCTCTTCAATTTCTTGTGCTTTTGGATTTTCGTTTCAGGCTTTTTGTCTTTTGACCTTCATTACAGGGTTTGCCCATAAATCCAATAATACAGAGCTCTTTCAGCCCTAATATCCTTTTGAGAACTAAGGAAGGAATAAGGATTTCTTTTTGTCTTTATTGATCTCCTTGCTGCTTTTTTCGTTCAATCACTTGTGCTTTTGGATTGTTTTTTAAGACTTTCATCTTTTTGAGTTCCAGTATAGGATTTGCCCTGTAAATCCATTAAATATGAGCTCTTTCAGTGTTGGTACCCTGCTTGAAGATTTAAGACAGGATTGCATTTTGTTAGACATTTATGATGGTTATGGTAATTGCACTAGGAGTATTATGGAATTGTTGCAATATAGTTGTTCATACTCATTCATCAACCAGTCTGGCTTCAAACATCTGGAGTTTATGTGGATGAATTCACTTGGCTGATACAAGGGGGTGGGATTCGATTTCTTTTGTGAATATAGTGTCTCAGGAAAAATCATTTGTATCCTAGATATGAAAATATGTGGGTCGATGAAAATGAAAAAAGGGGGGTTATAGATATTAAGAAAAATGGATAGGCCGAGCGCATAAAGGGGTTTGCAAAAATACGAAATGAAATAAGAGCTAATGAGATGGAAATGATGAGTCAAAATTGGAGTAAAGGTTCGAATTCCATACTGTAGATAAGGTGATGGTCTTGTCTATAATGATAAACAAACGAAAAAGTTTCTTCAAGATCATCAACCATATATGCATTAGTAGCAGCAAGTTTGATTTTGTATCTATAATTGAAAATTACAGTGTGGCCATTCTGTTCATTTTTGAATGTTGCTTAAGCTTTTTGTTCACCATTTGCAGCTTGTGCGTAGCAACAGCCGTCGGTTTATGCCATCACAAGCTGATGAAGAAGCCCATCAATTATCTTATCTACAAAAACACTTGGCAAACATTGTCTCTCTTCTTGCAGAGCCTGCGGAAGGGGAAGGCGAAGAGTCTCTGGTTTGTAATATTCTCCCGGTAGCTGTAGATAATTGAAGCAGTTATTTCTTTCAAAAAAGAAAAGAAAACGAAATACCTGTTCCAGCAACTCTTCTTCTAAGTTTGGATACCATGGGCTCATTGTTTGGTACTTATTAATGTTTTATGAGGCCCCGGTTATACCACATTTAGCTGTAGGAATTGGTAGTTTAGTCTGGTGCAAAAGACAATTTGTTTTGCAATCCCTTTCCCCTCTGTTTTTCAAGTTCCAATTCAATTTGTAATTATAAGTTGTTTTTTTTTTAATTTTTCTCTTCCAACAAGTAAAGAAGTTCTCCATAAATTTATATGCAAAGTAGGTGTGTGATTGTTACTGGGTGGTTTCAAGTTTCAATAACTGGTGAACAATATACTCTGAAATCAATGAGATGAAGGAAACAATTTCGTTTTAGAATTTTTATGGTAAGCCCTTTGTTTATGTGGGGAAACGGTTCAGCCGCACTTTAACGTGTTTGATAGTATTTTTATTAATAAAGTATGTCACAGTTTGTCAGTTTTTTGGCCAAAAAGTTTAGACTTTAGTCTTTATAGGCCTGCTTGTCAGATGAATTAGGGTATGCTACATGGTGGCTTGAAGAAAGGTCAAACCTCTTGCAGGTGTGTTCTTTCAATATTGAAACTTCAATTTTCACTTGAAGCAACTAGAATTTTGTAACTTTTTTTTTTAAAATAAGTCTAACCATTTGTGTTATAGTTGAGAGTTCTATAGAAATACAGATTATATTTTAGAATGAAGTCAGTTAGCCAGGTGGACGTTTGGGGATCATTTATTGCTTTTAGATAGATTAGCAAAATAACATTTCACTTCCTTTTTTATTTTTGTTGCATATTATTCTTTTTGCATTTTTTATCTGTTTGTGATTTTTAATACTCTCTTGCAATACTTCTACTTGCTTCTTAACCTCTCTTTTCCAGGTCTTGAGCATGGAAGGATTTGAGCACCTTGGGTTTCTAATTCAATTTGGTGATAAGGGATCTGAAGGAGTTCCATTAAGCCAAGCTACACCATTTTTTGCAAATTCAGATCCTGACATGCCTGCGGTTCCTGTCCCTGCTGCCCAAGTACATGATTGGCTTCTGCAGAATATAGCTTCTGCTTTGGAAAGCATTAGCGAAAGAATGTCAGCAAAAGAAAATGGGCCTTCCAGTGGCTCTGATCAGGATGTTGCCATGGCTGATGCCTGCACAAGTTCAAACAAGGCCTCACCAAGTGCTAGAGGTCCAAGTTTTATCGAGGGGATCTCTAAGTCATCATATGTAAAGCAAGCATCAGATCTAAAAGGTTCTTCTGTGAAGGTTAGATTTGAAATCTTAATTTACTTTCTTTTCGTACTGAATCATGAATATTGGAGCTTTGATCTCCTTCACTGTCTTTATTTGTGAACTATTGGCTGTCTATATCTCGAGGTTGTGGAAGTCTTTGTTCTTTTTTGATAGAAAGGCTCAATGAATTAGGGATTCTTATTGGTTAGAACTAGGAACTAAATCTCATACCTTCAGAATTTTAAAATTTTAAAGCAAAAATATCCTATAAAAGCAGATTTGTTTGATTTAGAATTTTAAAAGCAAAAGTGAAAGTTAATGTAAGACATTGTTAGTACTGTTTTAACTATGTATATTTTTCAATTTTATATTCTTTGCTTTAAAAATTGTTTTACTATGGGTTGCACCCCCTTGGTGCTTTGTTAATATATCTATACTTTTTATTTCAAAGAAAATAATTCTTTTTGTCTAAGATTCGAAATTTTTTTCTTCTGAGTGAAAAAAGGGAAATGATATCAAAAGGCACCAAGTGGGGTGTCACCCATATGCAAATAAATACAACTCCCACAAGGAGAGAAGATATATTAGATTAACAAAATCACTGCATCCCTGATCAAGCACATAATTCTTCCTTGAAGTGCTGACTGCCCAGTTGAGGTTAAGTAGTTAGAGAATTGAACAAAGCCTTCTAGTTTTAGGGCACCAGAGAAGAAGATGGTTTGATTATTTGTTATTACCATGGCATAAGAAGCAATGATTCACCAATACTCAACCTCTCATCTTGTCAAGGATTTCTCACGGGTTATTTTCCTTAGGCTTAAGCTTGTGTTTCCATTGACACCCTTAATTTGAATGTCTTGGAATCATTTACGTGTGTGAAGCTAGGTGCTCAGATAACATTTTAAACCCATATTTTAGTTGACATAAAAGGAATATCGTGGTAGTTGAACACAATCAGTTGGTTGTTTATTTGGAAACCTGGTCATTGGATGTGTGATGTTTAGATTTGATTGTATGACTCAAAGAATTAGAAACTGAAGCTTATGACCCATGTCATATCGGCCACATTATAAGTTGGATCAGGATGGTAAAAGAGCTAAATTTTTTTTCTTCTGCTTTGGTGTGCCTTTTATTATTTGCAATTTTAGCTGAGTTATTCCTTCTATTTCTTCCTTTTTGGGATGTTTTTTTCTTCTTTGAGAGGAAAAAGATAATGGCACTAAAAGGCACCAAGTTGTGCCGCCCATATACAGAAATGTCTACAACTTTCAATAAAGTCAATGAAGCATGCCTATCATAGAGAGGGCAACTCTTACACAGTGTCAGGGGCTTCAAGTCCTTTTTATAGATGGTCAGAAGCTGAGGGTTGCTCAAGGTGGATGAGTCATTATATTTTATTTTTCCTACTCAAAGTTGTGTTTGACAATTAAGCTCAATGTGTTCTCACTGTAGTTCAGGTTCTTGCATTCATTAACTTCTTTAATATTCTATGTTCTAATGCTTTCCCACTGTGTTAGTGGTTTTAATTGTTTGTTTTTTCTTTTTTGTTAAGGATGTTTTCTGAATGCCTATAAACATTATGTACTGTTTTTCAGGTTATTAATTGTCATGATTCTGTCATTTATATTTTGGCGCCTTTAAGATATGCAACCATCTATGGGTGCTCCGATGCGACTATAATTCTTGGAGCAGTTGGCAAGGTAAGGACAGAGTTATTTGTTCCTACTTGTGCTTCCAAAATATTAATTGGCGCACTATTTCCCAATGTAGATTCAACACATCATAGTTTTATTCTATAGCTATTACGTAGATTTTGCCAATCTTTTAGAAATGCTTTTATATATGCACTCCAAGTGGTAATTGTGAGAAACTATTATTAATATGAACCGAAATATTCCTGTAAAATAGTGACATTGAAGAAGGTTGTCATGTGATGGCATATAGATGTAGTAGTAATACACTATTTAAGAATTATATTATTTAGGTTATTTTTTATGTTCCTCAGTTTATTCATGTTTTGTTTTCCTGTCTTTATTAGGAATACTGCTTTATTGATATTTCTTAGTCCAATTTTATGCTGTAAAGGATTACTTTAGCACACTATTACAAGTACCTTTACAATCTCCTTTAAAATATCATTCATTTATTCAATAAGATGCTGAGGTTTTTCAGTACTTGATTGTGTGGTTCAATCAGGAAACCTAGGTATAGTGTTTAAGATTTTCCCAAGTTCCTAACTTTGCGAATTAGCCCTGATTTGTTTGCATCAGTTGGTAGCAAAGCCCACCCGCAAAACCGCACACCCAAATAGCTTAAAATCTGACTACTTAAAAAACTCTAAAAATTGAAAGTCCTAAGCACTCTAAACAACAGTCTGTTTGTTTACTAGCCATTGGGCTATGTGATGCAGAATGGAGTAACTATTGATGGTCTAAATAGTTTAGAAATCTTAATTCAATTAAGTAAAAACTACTATATTATTTAGGAGTTTATTGTTATAATTTTAGGAATTTTAGGATTTATTTTTATAAATATCTAGTTTTTCTATTTATATTAGTAGTATTTTCTATTTTATCGGGAGTAATTTAGTTTAGTTTCAATATTTTTTAATTTGATCCTGTTTAGTAAAGATTACTTAGGAAACATTATAAATATCTTTGTGATTTCACTTGAGAAAGAATTCTATTTTAAACCACCCCCCCTCCTCCCCCCCCCAAAAAAAAAAAAAAAAACCTTCTTGAGACAGAATTCAGTTATTCAATAAAGTACTTTGAAAGTTTCTCAATTTTGTGGTGCTGTAATGCAATTAAGTCTTTATCTGTGATGCTTATGATATGATAGAAGTGATGTCTAGATTTTAGGAACTTCAGGATTTTATTTTTGTTAGCATTTATCTCAAAAATATTTTTTGTTGGCATTTAGTTTTCCTATTTATATTAATACTATTTTCTATTTTGTCTGGAATGCTATCTAGTTTTAGTGTTTCTTAAATTAATCCTATTAGTGTAGGTTACTTAGAAAATATTGTAAATATATTTATAATTTCACTTTTTAAGAAAGAATCTTTTACAAACGAACCTTCTTCAAATAAAATTTGTTTACTCTATAAAATACTCTGCGAGTTCCTTAATTTTTTGGTTTTGTGGTGCAACTAAACCTTTATGCATGATGCTTAAAACATGATAAAAACGAGATCTATAAAACAATCACATTTCATATTGCCTAGGAAGCTATTGACTGAAAATGGGCTTTGGATATTGGTGAAGTTATTGTGTTGTACTCGAGAGTTTAGTATTCTGAAAAAAAAAAAACAGTGAAAAGTGTAGAGTTTAACAAATATATCTTCATTAGTCCCTTCCCATGGCCTGTCGATTTGCGTTTTCTGATCATTAAACAGAACTTGGAGGAAGCTGCCAAATTAATTTATATGATCTGAAATGCTCGAATTCTTTGTATATGCAAAGAGTAACTTCATCTGCATAACTTTGTCTCTACATTTATTACTACTTAATGGTACATATGGTATCTTTCCATGAAAAGCCACTGATATACATATATGTGGGAACCATTTATGAAACATTGTAAATTCATTAATGTTCTTGAGATGATTAGATGATATGAAAGAACTCTACAAAAGCTGGCCCTTATTTTAGGATTTAAATTATTTCTTTTACTTGCTGATGACTGTCCTTGACTTGTCTGTTTGTAGTTTCTTGTTCAATCCACGTGCTTGGTTGGATGAGCAATGTTATCTACTATGTATATTCTCTGATTTTGTTAGTTTTGTTGGAGATGGGAAAGCTTGATATGCTTTGTTAAGTTTGTTTCTTTTGCTTCGTCCCTCTCTTATTGTGCACGCTCTTACCTTCACAATGAATCTCTGAGCATGTGGTAAGGTGGTTTTTTTATTTCTTTTTATAGGCTGTTAGAATTGAGCACTGTGAGAGAGTTCACGTGATTGCAGCTGCAAAACGAGCCTGCATTGCCAATTGTCGTGAATGTGTCTTCTTTTTGGGGGTAAACCAGCGACCTCTTATGGTTGGGGACAATCATAAACTTCAGGTAAAGAATATTCTTTAATTGGTTCTCTACTTACAAGTATCACATCTGATTATGAACACGAGAATTGTGTTATCATTGGACTCTGGAGAATGCCTGGACACAGGATTTTACATGACATATCTGTAGTGTGTTACCCACGCCATGTTTCCATTTTTTTTTTATTATATTCTGTAAAAAGAGGTTAGTGTTAGTGATGACAGAACTAAAAATTGAAATGGAGGAAGAGTTATAAATCACTGGGCTCTGGGGTCTTTCATGTGGATATTGCTGCCGGAAGTTCTTAACCAAAATTTCTGGGCTTTGAAGGTTGAATGGCTATAGCATTCTGCATTGACAAGAATTTACTCCGAAGTGAAATCTTAAATTGCCCATATGCTTGTAAATGCAAGCTCATGATTTGTTTGATGGTTCATTTTCTATTTGGATTTGTTATCATGTAAATCCACTGGTTTGGTTAGTTTTAAATGCTCAAACGTGCTTCTGGTGATGGTTTCATTTCTTCTAATTTTGCTGAAAAAGATATCATTCCAAGGACAATTTGCCACAGTTTTTTTTTTTTTTTGAGGAAACACTCCATCAAAGTTGTGGAGCACACTCGTTGGACATAATTTTATTTTTCCTGGTGGGCCTTATGCACCCGTGAGCTGATCCTCGAAGGCTACAATGGGTACATTTGGTGGTAGTTATTGTAAAAATGGCTAAATACATGTGTTCTTGATGTTTTGTCTTTCATGCAGTTGATCATACCACCATGGTCTGATTTTCTTTTTCAAGTGCCAAGACTATAAACTAACCTTTTTCATACTATTTTTATTTTTTTAAACTATAAAATAACCTTTTGATCTTTAATTTCCCTCAGGTGGCACCATATAATACATTTTATTCTCAGTTGGAGGAGCACATGGCAGAGGTTGGAATTGAGGCAACTATCAACAGGTGGGATGAACCGTTGGCATTGGGAGCAGTTGATCCACATGATTCATTATCTCATCCAGCTGGTGTCTCAGATACCCAAGCTGAGTCAGCTGCACGCTTAGATCCTGATCAATTCACAAACTTTTTGGTATGCTTTGTACATCTCATCTCATGCTAATTGAGAGTAATTTTTTACATCAATTTTTTTTCAAACTTGCAAAATATGTGATCAATGTATTATTTCTTTTCCTTTCATTCTTCTTTTAACTTTCTTTCTTGTTCAGATTCCAAATTGGTTTGGAGGTGATCCTGGGTCAACAAAAGACAATCCATTCCCATTACCAGATGTTTATATGGCATCACAGCAGAGAAATGTATGTTTAAAATCATGTGAAATGTGTCAGGATGATTGAATATGAGCTTATAGGATAAGATCATGTTTTTTTCCCTGCTTGTGGGATCTATTAGTTGCCTTGATGCCCGATTTTCTAATAGTCATTATCTTTTTCAGCAAAAGAATTTAGGAGAGATAAAGCAGTTACTGAAGGAAGCATCTCTTGAAGAAAACCGGAAACGAGAATTATCATGTGCAATCCATGTATACTTCAAAGACTGGTTATATGGTATACATCCTAACAACTTGTCTGCTACCATTTTTTAGTCAGAAAAAAACTAGTTTTTGTTACCATTTTAATAAGAAAAAAACTAGTTTCTGCTACCATAATATTAATTTGCTTGTTTGATTTCTCATAATCATGCACTTGGGACTCGTTCCTCATCTGAATTCAGCATGTTTAGCTTTCTAGTTTCTGCCTTAGCTGGTGTTTGTGAAATAATATACAACAATGATTCCTTCCCCTCATGGGTAGTTTTTTTGGGTTGGATAAACTGTGGTTTCTGCCTCTTGTTTTGTCTTGATGAAAGTTTATGATGGACCTTGCTTGGTTGTTTTAATGCTATGGTCTCTTTTGTGGGCGGGGGCAGGGTCTGTATGGTTGTAAATTGAAGGTTACATGGGTAGGATATATGAATTAAGGCGAAGTTTTCTTTTTTTCTGGGTGTTTTGCGGGTAGGAGCACGATCTGTGTAGTTTAGCTTGGGTCTAATTGAAGGTTATGTGGGTAGACTGCGAACTGCTTCTTGTAATTAGTTATATGTAATGGAACTTATCGGACATTCACGATTTGATTGTCGTTCTAGCAAAGGGATATATGAATTAAGGTGCATTTTTCTTTCCTCCGAGTGCTTAATGGGTAACAATATGTTTCTTAAGTGTCTATTTTTTTGCATTACATTCAAATGAGCTGATTTAATATAGAGCCTGCGAGGAAATTGCGGTCAACATGAACCAGAGCCTCTCAATACTGATCTGTCTAATATATTTGATGAGTGAAATTCCTGAGTACTTAACAAGTGCAATTGTTAATTTTCTGCTGCTAATTTGCAATTCAAATCCTTTTAATATGGAAGTCCGCAGTGACAGTAGTCTTCTCATAATTTGACAGCCTCGGGAAATATACGGCAACTCTACTGCCTTCAAGGGGACTAATATTATTGGATGAAAGCTGTCATGGTTAGGTATCATCGACAGAGATGCTTTTTGGTTTGCTTTTCGTTTCAACCCACACTATTTTCATCGCCATTTCAACTGGGTACTGCAAGCAGATGAGAACCAATTGTATGTACCAAGGAATGGTAGACATCTATGAATCAACACTTCTGCACAGATGCAAGTAGCGATACATTTTGCTAATCTGAATGTAATATTTTTTTTTGGTTTAAGTGAAATAATCATATACTGTAATATTTTGTTAACATAGGTATGCAGTCTTGTGAAATTTCCTTTTCTAGAGTTCCTTTCTATTTGAGTTCTCCATCTTCTTGTTTTGCTCAAACCGTTACTTTTGAAAAACCTCATCTCTTCTATATCCCTTAGTTATGCTTTAGGTTTCTGCATTTATTTGTCATGGGTAGAAGTAGATGCACAGGAAATATTAAGATGACATTCACATTGAAAAATGAAAACAATAAGTCTGAAGTAAGGTTTATTTTGATTGTAAATGGGTGTCACCGCTCCTTTTATGGTATGTTTTTCTTTTATATTTTTAAATGAAATTGTTTGTTTTGGCCTCAGAAAGAGCTGGAGTTGATGAAGCTGTAACTATCAGGAGTTTAATGGAACATAAGATAGAACATTGATATTGGAAAGAAGCATCAGATTTGGGGAGTGGAGATATTCAACTTTTTCCTCTGTTAAGTACATGGCCTTCTTTTTCCTCTCTGTTTCATTTCCTCTCTGTGTGTCCCCCAAAACAAAGAATTCTCTGACAGAGTAGTATTCTTACAAACTGCAAAATTCTAGGGTTATCAGTAGCTCTAGCTTGCAGGAGACATCTGAAGCAGTTTCTCTGCTTGCTCTGGGAAGAAGGTGATGAATAGGTAAGCACCTGCATATTTGGAATATAAAAATCTTTTAGGATAAAATATAAATAATTTAATTAATTAAATAATAGAAACCTCCTGTTCTTTGGTTTTACAGCAACTCAAATATTTGTTGTGATTACTGGTTCTTTTAGATAATATTTACATGGGTTTGGCATTCCAAATGTAAATACACTTGAAGGGCAAATAAATTAAAATTATGAAGAAACCCCTAAAGTACAAGATAATAATAGCCTTGAAAAAAATAATAATTGATATCAAAAGGTAGAAAATGAAGTGTAACATATTGGATAGTCACAGAAACAAGTCACAAGATTTCAAAATGCCGAAACACCAATCAACGCGAGCCAAAATTGCAATTAACAAATATAATTTGCAGAAGGTAGAGATCTTACAGATAAGTACAGTTCCAAGAACAGCTGAGATTTTTCCTTGAATGGTTACTAAGCCCGCTTTGCCAGCATCCTGCAACTCCGTTGAGCCAACTGAGTCAAACGTTCCTGCAACAATCGAAAACAACCTCCGATTTTCATACAGGGAAAAACTGGTCCCAAGATTCAACAAAGGAATTGGGAATGGAAAAAAATTTGACCTGGTTTTACAGATTGAAGCCCTGAGGTCATACAAGCTAAGTTTTGGAAGCCAGCCTGCTCTAACTTATTAGCCGCTGCAGCAGACCTTGACATTAAAAAGAAACATAATCCTGTCAGGTGTTTCCAGATTAGGCACAAAAGAATTGGACTACATGTTAAGCAACTCAACCCAATTCATCTTTCAAGCAACAAAATCGATTCTGGAAAAGAATATAATTTGATAGTGAATAATATGTAAGTCAGGGGTTAACTCTAACATAATTAGATTGATAGAAAAGAACCCAATTTATTATTTACGTTGTATATTAAGAATAATATCAAACTAACCTCAATCCTTCCTGACATACAAGCAATAGTTTACTTTCTGTTGAAAACTGGCTCTTAACAGACTGCACAAACTCAGGATTTTGTTTGGTAAATGGCAGCCCAAAGAATAAACCTGAAAAATTGTTGTGTACTGTCCTCTTTATAATTGTCCCTGCGAGAACGAAAAATAAAGATACGTGAAGGGTTTTTTTGTTACCCGATTTATAAAGAGATTAGTTCTATTTTCCGATCACCTGCCTTGTACGTTATATTTTGGAAATAAAATTTAAATGCATTATTAGATAGAATGCACTATTGAAATTGTATGGAAGAGGAATAGTCTGGATAAACAAAAAATAAGTACAAAGATAAGAATTTTGATGTTTCCTTAAAAAAAGAAGAGAATTTTGATACCAAATATCCGAATCTAGCAGAAAACATGTCAGAAAGGAAGAAAGAAAAATCCATATTAAACATGGTGGAGAGTTTTGCATACCCAAGTCATTGTCTTGGTTTTCAGTAAAAAGAGGCACATGATAACATGATTTTATATGAGCTCGCTCGAATTGAGATTTGTCACGAACATCCAGAATTGAGTAACCCTCAACGGCTATGAGTTTCTTTGCTTCTTCAGCATTCACAAAATTCACTTCAGCTCTGATTTCTGAATTTCTCCGGCTGATTGGTTTCCAAAATACAGTTCTTCCATTATGTGTATTCAATTCCAGATGACTTGCACAGAGGTTGCTGAAAGTACAGCCTCAAATCAGTTACTTCCACTGCCATACATCATTTCAACTCGGAGTAGTTGATAGAAATATGTATGAAAACAGAAAGTTTAGAAGTACAAAATGATTAAACAATTGAAAAGATCATAACATATATGCAATTTGAGTTTATGTGACTTACTCCTATAAGAATAGAACACAAATTAATGATAAAAAATGAATCCAAAAAATTACAAATACTCTGAAGATGGATTTTAAAACAGATAATATATAGAAACTAAAATAAATTTTCTTCACTATTTTTTAGGAATTAAACCCCCTAAACTCACTTTTTCTTCTTTTTTTTTTTCTTGTTTTCTTGGCTGTGAAAAGTATAGCTACCTGATTGACTAGTTGAAACTTAAAAAAAGACATCTTGACTGAATTATGATACTCAATAACTCAAGTTTCTAATTCTTTGTTTCCCTTTTTCATAGAATCACAGCCAAACTCTATCTAACAAGAAACTGAACATCATGAAATATTATAAATATTACTCCCTTAAATTTAAAAGAGAGCAATTGAGAGTTTCATGCTTTAAGGATCAGTAGTTGGTTATATCAGATTGACCAGTACTGAGAAATTGTTGCATAACCCGAGTTCTACATTTTATCGATCCCTACAAAGATTATCTATTAGAATGTAAATAATAGGACAAATTTCGGTATCAATCTCCCTAATTTGGTAACTGGTTTACTCTTTTGTTTAACTTTATTGTTTTAAATAACAACATCAGAAAACTCCACAATTTTTAAAATCTGAACATGAACACTCAAAACTTAAAGTCCAAAGACGAAAAACAAGAGTAAAAGACAGAAAATTACAGAATAGTGAGTAAGATGATCAAAGAAAACTAAGCTACAGGGTATGAAAAAAATCAGTGAGTTTAAACTGTAATTTGGTCTGAATAAAATATTGTACCTACCAGCCAAAAACTTGCTCTGTCTATGGAAATTATTGTTGATCAGTTATAAAAATATCCAGTGATCTATATGTCATTATATATATAAATATATATCTATCTCCTTCATGAACTAACGACCTATTTAACTTTTGGAATGATCTTCAAATTCCCACACAGAACCTCCGTTCTTCAAACATAAAGTCAAGTTTTTATGCTGATTTGGGCATTAACTTTGAGCAGTTCAGCTAGAGACTAATAGAAGAAGTAGACCCAGATGATCAGTGAAAATTTCACAATGGAAAAATTTTGAAATCTTCTCTTGTATTATTAAGTAACAAGACAGAGAATCCAGAGCTCATCGATCAAAAACCTAACACTGAGTTTCAATTCTAAAGCTGAAAGAAGAAGAAACAGTATCTGTATAAAGCCGAGGAAGAAATGGGGAGGGAGCGAGGGAGGAAATGGAGTTATTTACCGCGAGAAAGAGAGAGTCGAACAAGAAGTACCGATCCCAGCCATTGAGAGAATAATTCTCCTCTCTCTAGTTTTTGTCTCTTGCAGAGGAAGAATCAGTGATTAATGGACGGTTCAGAATACCCAAGAGAGTTGCAGAGGCCCCAAAGAAATTCAGGAGGGGCAATGGGTTGTTGCCACGTGTTCGTGAGGAGAGGATATATTTCTCGAATCTTAGAGGTACTACTCCTTGATTATGGACAGGAAAAAGACAATATAATAATAACAGTATCAATATATATATTTTTCTGTGAAATTACAATAATTTTAATAAATTTAATAAAATAATTAACTTTTTAATTTAAATCATGTGGAAACAATAATAAAGAATACTTACAATAATTATTTTCTTAGTTTTTTTTTTTTATTTAAAAAATTATAGTCTGTAATTTATGTTAAATAAAATTATTATACATTAAGTTATTTTGTATTTCACTTTAATTTAAATAGAAGTTTGATTTTGTTATTTTCACATAAAAGATAATTACAATTATGTCCATAACATTTCCAAACTTACGAAGAGGATCTTAACAAAATACTACTTCCAAGCTTCAGGTGAAGTTGGTGGTTGCAGAAATCATACAACTGTGAAAGAAAAGGAAACTCTGTAAATGCAGAGGTTAAATATGGTTCAGTCTCTGATTCCTAATGCATATCATAAAGCAGAAGTAATCATCTCAAACATGTAATGTAACCTTGATAGATGACTGAGATACATTTATTGAAATAACCCATGGAGCTTCTGGAAACTGAATGAGTAGGGAGCCAGAAAACAAGACCAAAGAGTATTATTACATCTCTGCAAACAAAGACCGGCAAAGCTGAAGCTGCACTCCCAATTAACTCGGGTGAGGGGAAGCCATATATATTTCCTTCAGGAGCAGCACGCAAAAAACTCATGAGTCGGCTGGAGATCTCTTCTTGGTAGTGTAAGGATAATATTCCTTGCCGGTGTCTACCCTTGTGGTCTGGCCTCCAGCATCAATCACCGCGGAAGTGACTGCCAGAGCTGATCCAGCTGAAATTGCTGTCGACATACTCCTTCCTGTAAAATGACAGCACATCACCACCGATTACACAGAAGGTACGTACATATTCTTTGACTCCATATAAGGCTCACGTTTATTGTTTCATTGGGAACATGGCAATCATGCTCAGCATCACAACTTTTAAAATTCAACCAGAAAAAAGAAAGGACATAAAAATAAAAGATCACAATTGAAAAAATTTCCACATGTAGACTGCAATGACACCATTTTGCACCTTTGGAATTGAGCAAAGACAGGCAAGTTCAGAGGCCACAAGCAATCCAGTCAAGCATTTAGACCAATAAGGGACTTTCCATCAACGTTCCACGCTCAAAACTGTAAGGGTCAAATATATCCGAAATGTGTTTGACCGATTCATCTTTTAGACGGTGTTTGTGTATAAGCTGTATAACTTCTCTTTTAGATATGTTGTTGAAGTGCTTGGGTACAATCTCATAAACCATATCAATTTATTACATGTTTGTCAGATATATATATTAGCTATTAAATCTATTCAAATGACAAACAAAAAGAGCACCATTAAAAAGAAGGAATAAGACAAATTTTATAGAGATCTAATTTTCAAAATTGTTAAGGGTTATTTTAGCCTTTCACCGGGTCAACACCAGTGTGTAATAGAGAATTTGTAAATAAAAGTTACACCAACAGCTGTCTAATTTCTTCGTTATTTGCCAAATACGTAACAAAATCTAAATCGTTGTTAGAGAGCTTATAAGCCCTCATTGACACAAAGAAAAGAGCCAAAAACTCTTTTACTAACACACTTGTAGCTAATCAATCTACAACGGAAGCCTATCATCATAAATAACAAGGATCAGTTCAAATCTGATTGGCAAAAAAGTAAAGCGGTTAATGTTATCATCAAACCAAGTTCAAAGCATTCAAAGAGGCATTTGCCAAAATGCACCATGAAGTTAGACATGTAAATCATTCTGATCCAAATAATTTGATCCTCTCATAGGAAAGGTTGCACAGCAAAATCTAAGAGGCACATCAAACTAAAAATTCACAAACAAATAGTTTAAAGTGGTGCGCTTCACAAAGTAAAAAAACTTTTAAAAACTGGAATTACTATTCCTTATAAAAAAAACTATATTTACTGTCCAGATTGATGTAAAATAAAAGATCCACATAAGAACATTTGAATCTTTTGAAGTACAAGTGAAGAAATATAGTTAGATAAACACTTGGATCTTTTAACTACATGTTACAACAGCATTCTGAATTGAGAATTAAAATGCATAAGAAATGCTATCCAACAAAAGAAATGCTCACCTTTGAAACCAAGAATGGTAGCCCCAGCAACAAAACCACCAACAGCACCATTAACAAAGTCTCTCTTCATCCTGTATTTCTCTAACAACTGCTCAACACCAATGTAAACTCCTCCAATTGCAGCAAATGTCATTCCATAATTACCCATCATTTTAAGTGTCCTTATCAACCCTGGAAGAGCAACATTTCTCTCAACACGAGGCACATCATACCAAGTGGCGATGATAGTCCCCCAAATAGTCCCAGCAACCAAACCAGTAGTTGCACCCTTGATTGTCTTCATTGTAGGTGTATCATCATTCTCCAAGTACCTGAGTTCCGAAGGATCCATGCCTTTCCTCTTGGGAATAGACA